CCCAGGGCCGGAGGGAGCAAAATTGCCAGCTTCCAGGACCCTTTTGAGGTTTTCCAAGCCTGGAAAAGGTTTGGAAAGGGGTCCTGGAAGCTGGTGAGTTTGCCCCCGCTGGCCCCGTGGGGGTGGGTGGAGCCTCCCAAGGGCTCTGGAAGGCAGACTCGGACCCTTGGGAGGCTCCCACCCACCCCCACAGGGCCAGTGCGGGCGAAATCACCAGCTTCGCTCCGTAAGACGCACACACTTTCCCCCGACTTTTTTTTGGGGGGGGAGTATGTCTTATAGAGCAAAAAATACGGTAATTAAAAAATATTATTATTGGCTGTGATAAAATCTTGCAGAACTTGGCCCGTGACCCACCAGCTGGCTATCCCAAAACAATACCTCACTCTCCAAAGACCCCAAGGCCTACTCTTAGGGAAAGAGCCTTTTCATTATGAACAGAAATAGGATTCTTTCTCTTAGTTTTTAAATATTACAGGAAATCTTATCAGTTTCCCGCAGACTCATCATCAGACTACAAGTTCTTGATGAAATTAAGGTTCCCAGAAGTCAATCCCAGACTACTGCCTGCTGCAGAGTTTTAAGACCTTTCTGCAGACAGAAGCAGACCCGTTTGCTCTGTACTTTTTGTACTCATCTTCCACCAACAAAAACATCTTGGAGACAATCTGTACAGGCAGATCTCCTTTGTGTAACATTCCCAACATTTTCATGTCACAACATAAATATCTACAAGACTGAAAGAGAGCAAGGAGTCCCAATAATTATTCTTCGTCTTGCATATGAGGATGCAGTTCAAGGATCTGCTCTGCCATCTACCCAATTTCAGCTCCATCTATCCCAGTTCCCCAAATTCCCATTACTGTGGGCTACTCACCTTGCAGCCACCGAACCTGCGTGGCAGGACCGTAGCCCTTCTCATTGCGGGCAGCAATGCGGAAAATGATGGCAGGCTTGGTGGTGTAGTCTATGTGGGCGTTGGAGAGACTAGCAGACTGCACCAGGCACGAGGGGCTGGGCCCGCAGTAAACCCGCATGAAGGCCAGTTGAGCAGGAGCTGCGCTCTTCGGTTCACCTGCCTGGGCACTCTGGATGGCCAGGTACACAGAGTACTCGGTGATCTTCCCAGAGGTGACAGAAGGGGGCTCCCAAGTCAGGTGCGCTCCATCAGGACTCTAAGGCAAACACAAACACCCAAAGAGCATGAGGATGGTTCTCTCCCAAGAGAGAAGACTGGGGCAGGAATATTATCCAGCAGACAACTAAAATCACTCCAGCTAGACCAGAATAGGAAAGGAAGGTAGCAAGGCACTGAGGCAGTGAAGAAGCACTGACCTTACTGATTTTAATGGCACAGGGTGCTCCAGGAAAACCAGGCAGACAGGTCTTGAAAGCTGAGATTTCACTGAAAGGGCCCCGGCCGCAGGCATTGATTCCTGCTACTCGGAACTTGTATGCTGTCCCAGGCTGTAGCTCCTGCTTCTTGAGTTGAGAGTAATCAGGTATGGTGCCTGAGTCATCCTGCAGGGAACAGATCACGGTGAGAAGGGGACAGGGAGACTCCCTCAGGGGTTGAAGGAACAGGTGAGCAGCAAGTATGATGGCAGGGACCTTGATCTTTAAGACTCATGTGCCTTCGAAAGAAGATAGAAGTTGTAACAAGGCCACTCACATCTGTGACAGGTGCATCATCAGGAGGCAGGAAGTAATGTGTCACCATCATGTTGGTTGTCTTGACAACACCCACATCAAACCACTGATTTTCTTTCTTCACAACCATCTTTGGAGGTTGGGCAGGAGGCTCTGGTTTCTAGACAGGGTAGAGAACACGGGGAGGTGAGCCTTTGGAAGGGTGGTCCTTTTCTTCTCCCTGCCCCTCTCCTCCGTCTTCCTGAGCTTACCACTGGGGCTGGTTCAATCCCATTAGCAACCTCTGTCAGAGCAGCTGCCGCTTGAAGTTTTGCTGGGCTCGACACCACTACGGGCTGCGGAGCCACAAAAGTATTGGATGGAGCGAGACCTTGAAGGACAAAAAGAAAAAAACAACACTTTAATGAAGACCCTGATCCTGGTCATCTGTCACTAATGATGTCTTTCTGCACCTCAGGTTTGGAAGCCAACCCAGGTATTCCCACTGAATCCTCCCTCAGCCAAGACCAAGATCACTCAAAATCCAAAAGGTGAATGTGGTGCCTTACAGAACTCGAGACATGAAACTGCACCCCCATGGGAAGCAACAATCCTCACCCACCCAAAGGGACAAGCCACACACTTGGAATATCCTCCTCCAGTGACTGATGGGATGTGACACTATATGCTCTTCTTTAGGAAATCTCAAGCAACGCACGCCAAGGGCAGAGAATGACCAGAGAGCTTGACAGAAGCTTTCTTCAGTGGCATCACTTACTCTCCGTAGGTGTAGGGGGTAGCAGCCCAACTGTGCTAGTGACTGCACTAGCCAGCTCGTTGAGGCCATTGCTCTCACTGGCAGGATCGTTGAGACTGTCAGCCGGGGCCAAGGCTTCTGTGGGCAAATGGGAAGGCAGTGGGTGTGGAGGCTGATGCTGCTGAGCTGCCGCTGCCGCCGCTGCTGCAGCTGCCGCCGCCTGAGCCTCCTGAAGCTGGTGCTGCTGCTGTACAAGAGCCGCCAGTTCTTGCTGCGTGAGCACAATGGGGATGGCAGTGGCCTGGCCTTCCGGGCCCTCCGAGGCCAAATGCCCCAAGTCTGCCTGTGCTGCCGCTGTCTCAGATGTATCCATGGCCTCTCCAGGACCTGTAAAAGTTGCCACAAGTTGGCGTAGTGACAGAACAAATCCACAGGAGAAAGGGCAGGGGAAGAGGGGATGGGAGGCCTTGCCAGGTTTCATGAGCCAATGGGCTGGGAAGAGTACAGACAGGATACCCTCGCCCAACCGTCGCCCAAGCCAAATGTGGAACTATAGAAGCACTCACCCATTACTGCCTGCTGGGCAGCCTGCAAGACGGCCTGTATGGCCAGGGCTTGGGCCTCTTCAGTGGCAGCAGCCTGGGCAGCAGCTTCGGCAGCAGCGGTGACAGCTAACTCTTCCGGCGTCAACCCAGTCACCATGAGGGTGGTGGTGCCCGCCTGGCTCTCCGCCATCAGCTCTTGGGGCAATGCCAGCTGCTCCACTTCGGAGGGTGGAGGAGGAGCAGCAGAGGTGGTCTGGGGCAACACCACCATAGCCACGGACTCCTGGGCGGGAGGTGCCGGGGGAGGTGGCGTTTCCTCTACAGGAGCCGTGAGCTCTGGCTGAGAGACGGCTTCAGCAGGCGGGGCCTCTGCTGGCGGAGTGGCAGCTGGTGCAGCTGGAGCTTGCTCTTGAAGTTCAGGTGCTGCTGCCTGCATCTCCACAGAAGGACGCAGCGGCTCAGCGGGTCCTGGGAGAGCATCTGTGCTGGTGCCAGCTGGAGTCTCGGCAGAAGGAGTGGGTTCCTCTGCAGGAGCATCAGCCAAGGAAGAGATATTCTGCAACAAAAAGGAGGAAGGCCGTGTTAGGAGCCCAGATGGTGAAAACAGCAAAAAGGTGGCAATGGAAGAAAGTGTCAGCAGTTTATGTAGAAAAAAACACAAGAGTCAGAAGGGTAGCCTGAAACGGAAGATATAAAACAGGCTCCAGAGAAAGACTGTGCTCAGCTGCTGTGCTTCCAATGGCCAATGCTTGCAGCCCCCCCAAATTTAAATAGTCTCCCAATTCCATTTCTACAGCAGCATCCAAGCAGGAGAACAAACAAACAATGGAAAGCAGATTTTTTAAAAGAGCCAGAACAGGAAAATGATCGCTACAGTGACTCCCCAATGACAAAACGCACTCCCCAGTGACAAACAACCCTGACAAAGGGTTGTTTTTAAAGAGATGGCCATTCCTCTGAGAAGTCTAGCTGGCTCAGAGCTATCTTCCTTGCCAGGTTGAAGACCCCTTCCAAGTCAGGTGTAAGATCAGGAAAGGGCCTCAAAGCTTCAACTGCTGGCCCATCTTATGGAACAGATGTTAAGAATGGATCATTTCTAGGTTTTGCAATTCTCACCGGTACAGAGGGCCCTGGCGGAGGTGTAGACTGTGTAACAGTAGTGACAGCTCTGGCCTGCGTGGAAGGAACTGTGGTTGTAACAGCACTGGGGCTGCTGGCAGTTGTGCTCTCACTCACTGTTGTCTCTGGCTCCCCTTGTTGGCCATTGGTAGCTGGTGGCTGGTCTGCAAAGAGGAAACAGATTAAGCAACCAGGACAAGACTGCAGCAAGACTTCTGGATGACCATTCTGCTTGCCTTTTCCCATTCTTCAGAGAAGACCCATAGCACCATTAGGCTCCTCCATGAAGAAATGCCTGTCTTTTAAAAGACTTGGATCGAACCCACTGAGTGTCAAGAGCAGCACTTGTCCCAACCCTCCCGTTTCACAAAGACTTTTGCTAAAGAGCCACTCAGTATTGCAGGGAATTCTATGGCATCTATCAGAGCACACTTGCTGGCCCTCAGTGTTCTCCTGTGTGACAGGATAATACCCCCAACACTTTCGTGCAATTGCACTAGGAAGATGAAGATCGACAGTGACATGCAAGCCCCACCCCTCCAGGTTTAGTATCACTCAACTGACTTCCATTGAATTTCTATTTATTTTTATTTATTTATTTTCAATATTTTCCCTTTGCCTTTCCTCTTAAAAGGACCCAAGGTAGCTCACACTATTAAAAATAGTATTTAAAGCTAAAAGCAATGAGAATACAAAGTTGGCTTACATCATTAAAAGACAGTAATTAAATCTAAAAACAAAGAGTGGTAGAATATACCAGATGGGTGGGATATAAATCGAATGAATGAATGAATAAAAAAAAAACCCAAACAAATACCAGTCTGATAAATGGTGAACAAAAGTAATGCCAAAAACACATTCAAAGCAATAAGGCATAACAATCCATTAAAAAACTCCACTCAGGCAGCCAGTCAGTGAGTGAGGGAAAGCTTGCCTAAGAATGGTTTCAGTAATGTCCTGCTTATAGCTGTCCAAGAATTTTTATTTCACTCACTGCCTAAGAAAAAGTACTTCCAAAGAACAATGATAAGGTGGCTTGAGAAGAAAAACTGCACTGAACATCTGTGGATATGATACAATAATAACCATCATCATTTTAGAACTGCAGAGCTATAGGCAGTGAAAAAGGTCATAAAGAGAAAAGATCCTGGCTACTGTGAAGGCAAGATATTATTATGAACTCTAGAGTTTCTACTTTCATCCCAGGATGTCTACAATGAAACCTAGGAGAATGTGGAGGAATGCTCCAGGGTACCCAAAGTGTATGCAGGCTTTTAAAAAAGTATGAGGCTTCATCCTGTATAAATCATAGGCTTTAAAACAATGGCTCTCAACCTTGGATCGCCTTCACCACTAGCTGACAGGATTTCTGGGAGTTACAGTCCATGAACATCTGGGGACCCCAGGTTGGGAAGCACTGCTTTAAAGCATGTCCAACACAGACACACCCCAATATATTGCAGGGGACGAGGGATAAAGACCTTCCTTCCACGATTAGCTTTCCCCTGAGATACCCCCAAGATTTGCCAAAACATCATCCAAGCGCTGTTGGCTTACACCAGCCAAGTGTATAAGAAGGGAGCAGCTGCCTGTAATGAGCTCCCTTCGGTCTTTGATCTTACCTTGGTTGGATCCCATGGAAGAGGTGACCGTGGTGGCTGTGTGCGTTGTTCCTGTCTCATGGGTCTCACAAGGAGGGTTTGAGCACACTCTGGGCGTTGGGCTCTGAGGTGGGGATCCACTAGTGCCCACAGCATCTCCCTCGGGGGCTGTTCCCGATTCAGAACCCCCACTCTGTGCCAGGGCTGAGCTGGAAACCTGGGTGCCATTACCTCCAATGCTAGGTGTCATGGTTGTGCTGGTGGAACTTGTCTGTTGCGTTTCGCAGGGGGGAGTTGTGGGAATCTGCTGGGCACTCTCATTCTGCCCAGCACCTTCACCCTGCGCAGCACCCATGTTTGACGTGGTTGTGGTAGCTGTGTTGGTGGTGCCTGTCTCGTGGGTCTCACATGGTGGGTTGGAGCACACTTGCTGTCCTGAGCCCATGCTAGAAGTGGCTGTGGTAGCTGTGTTGGTGGTGCCCGTTTCGTGGGTCTCGCAAGGTGGATTGGAGCAAACCTGCTGGGTGGTACCCATGTTCGAGGCTGCAACTGTAGGGGTATTTGTGGTGCCCGTTTCGTGGGTCTCACAAGGAGGATTGGAGCAAACCTGCTCGGTGGTACCCATGTTCGAGGCTGCAACTGTAGGGGCATTGGTGGTGCCTGTTTCACGATTCTCGCAAGGTGGATTGGAGCACACCTGGAGGCCTTTATCCTTGGCATCTGTCTGAGAGGTCTTGCAAGGCGTGTCTGTCTCGGCTGGCCTTGTGGCTGAATCCAGAGATACCATCTGCACTGTGCATGGCTGCTTTGTAGGCACATCAGCTTTGGCAGACATGGTGGTGCTGGTTGAGTTAGTCTGCTGCGTTTGGCACGGAGGATTGGCAGATCCTACCCAGTCACCATCTGGCTGCCCTCGGCCCATGAGAGACCGAGCTGTTGTGGCAGTGTTGGTGGTGTGGGTGTGATGGGATTCACTCTGGAGACTTTTCGGGGCTGGTCGTCTTTCACTGTCCTGTACAGTGAGCGAGCCAGAGGCAACACTAGGCGTACTGGTAGCTGACATAAAGTTCACCCTTCGGACTGGACAGGGCTGCTCTGTGGGAACATCGGCTTTGGCCGACATGGTGGTGCTGGTGGTATTCGTTTGCTTTGTTTGGCACGGAGGGTCAGCTGGTTCTGTCTGCCCACCGTCAGGTTGCCCCCGGCCCATGTTGGAGGTGGCGGTGGTGGCTGTATTTGTGGTGCCTGTCTCATGGGTTTCACAAGGTGGATTGGAACACACTAGTTGGCCGGTGCCCACAATGGGCTTCACTGTCATGGTGGTGCTGGTGGCACTTGTCTGGAACGTTTGGCACGGTGGGTCCGCAGGTGCCTTCTCTGCTTTGGAGGTGGTAGCTGTATTAGTGGTGCCCGTCTCGTGAGTTTCACAGGGTGGGTTGGAGCACACCTTCTGCCCAGCACTCAGCACTGTGGTGGCTGTGTTGGTGGTGCCCGTCTCGTGGGTTTCACAAGGAGGATTGGAGCATACCCGCACCACTCGGCCATTGGGCTGGAGCCCTCCACCCTCCTGCCCATCACACACAAACTGCAACTGGGCTTGTCCCCCCAAAGTGCCCACAACAGTAGTTGTAGCCGTATTGGTTGTGCCAGTGTCATGAGTCTCACAGGGTGGATTGGAGCACACCAACGTGACGGTGCCCGGCTGCGGGTCACCCTGCCCCGATTCTGCAATGGTGACGGTGGCCGTGGGCTGCTCAGTGGTGGGAGAGGCCAAAATGGAGACGGGTAAATCATGCACTGGCTGGGCCTCGACGCCACTAGGGGTTGTAATCAATGTGACCTGAGTGGGCTGAGAGACAGGCTAGAAAACAAAAGGAGACGGAGAGACATGGAGGTTAGCACTTGAGTAAGGAACACACCTTCACCAAAGTGATGCAGAGATGTTCCCCAAGTCTCACCAAGCAAAGTGGAAGACCTTGCAGAATCTTACGCTGCAAATGATATGCCTGAATGAACCTCGCACAGAAATATACATTCTTTGCACAGAAAACACTAATATACCACAGGGAAATGTTTGGGATTTCCTCCTCCATTAGCCAGTTCTCTACATATAGGAGGGGAATAAAGTCACTCAAGTCAGCAACAGAGCTTAAGATGAAGATTTAGACACACATGGACAAGTACACAGGACGTGGCATAAAAAATTAAGATCTGTTGGCAATTTAGATCTTGGAAGACAAAATCTGGCAGATAGACCACTTTAAAGGAACTGATAAAGCCCACAGGGAAAAAGAAGAAGAACTGGGCAGAGAAAGGAGACCTAGCGCCATTCTAGCACCTTCTCTCCCCTGAACAATTAACTACTCTCATTCAAAGTGAAGAATGGCCCATGCAGTGCAAGTATTTTGCCTGTATTTGCAGTATACAAGGTGTCTGTGTATTAAATCAGTACATGGTGGTGAATTATATCACTGGTGCCTCTGCTCTCGCTACAAAGAATTTTCCTTCTTTTTCCTCCCTCCACAGCTGCAATGCCCAGCACCCTTTAAGGTTTCAACAGGAACTATTACCTCTTCTGTCATCACTGAAAGACCAACCAAATCAATGGGATAATGGGGCCAGTCCCCAAAAACAAGGATCAGAATCAATAACCAACTTCAAAGAGGAACAGTTCTTGGGTAGCCCAGGTGTTTTTGGACTGTAACTAGAGATGGGGGTATTCATATATGGATATGAATGTCCCCGCATAGGTGGAAATAACAAGGGTCTGGCACCATGGGGCTGGACTGTCCACTCACAATTTCTCTGCTGCCACCGGCTCTGCGGTACCTTCCTATCACGCCATTGTCCACAATTGATTACCCAGTCCTGGCAGGTGGGATGACAAGCCTCTCTGCTAGGTAGGAGAGTGGCTAATCCATTGTGGAGAACAGCGCGATAGAAAACTGCTGCAGCGCCGGCCGCAGCAGCGAAATCACCAGTGGACAGTCACACTCTCATTATTTCCAACTGTGCAGGGATATTCGTATACGAATACCCCCATCTCTAACTGTAACTCCTAGAAACCAAGCCAGCATAGCTTGTGGTGAAAGCTTCTGGGAGTTGCAGTCTAAGAATACCCGGATTATTTTATTTTATTTGTATTTATTTATTTTATTTATACCCCGCCCATCTGGTCTTGCGACCACTCTAGGCGGCACACATGATTGGGAACAACTGGTCTAGATCCTATAAGTAATCTCTGAGTTCCTCCTTCTCCTTATGATAAAATTTTGTTGGAGTAAGTGCCCTTATGCCAGATACCAGTTCTGTAGTTCCTAAGGCCAATCATCTACAAAGGCAGAGCCTGTTAAAACATACATGCTATGGGCCCATTTAAAGCAGAATATGGAACTACTTTTTTGAACAACAAGCACAGGAATCCTGGAAAATACAGTCCAAAACATCCTATGATCAATCTTTAATATGTATTTGGTTTTCAATCTGGTCAGATTGACAGATGTCTTTAGAAAACCACCACATGATATATGAAAGTAACAGTCTCACCCTCTCTGTTCGCTAGCACCCTGATATCTACCACTGTATTTCTTCTGACCATGGAGAGTCTAGTTAAGTACCACGGCTAACAGATATCCAGAGACCCATCTTCTGCTAATTTGTGCATTTCTTGAAAAATCCACTGGCACCAGGAACTACCATGTCTTGTGATTATAAACTTTGCAAGTTCACTTCATGTTACAGACCATCAGCTGGTTCTATTCAATGACACCATGACTCTACTTACAGGAATTTCCATCCCCAGCCTACTCCATACCTGCATGGTGATGGTGGGGGTGCTCAGCCCTCCTGCTGCTGTCAAGGTGGTCTGTGCAGCAGAGACTGTGATGGCAGCTGGGTTGATGACCTGGCTAGAAAGTGTGGCAATGGTGCCCAAGGTGGTAATAGGTGTAGCCAAGGAAGCATTGGTATTATGTCCTCCGGTCCCAGCTAGGCTTGTTGAAACTGTGCCTGTTACAGTGCCCAATGTTGTGACACCTAGAACAGGAAAGGAAGGCTAAGAGCAATAACTTTCCAACTGGTATCCTGCAGCGTGGCAACCTGCAGCCTAGACCAGAGATGGCAAACCTATGGCACACAGAGCCCTTTCTGCGGGCACGCAAGCCATGTCACCAAATCGCTCCCCCCCCCCGACAGCCAAATCTGAGAAGGCGGCTGCAGCCGCAGTGTTGGCACTTTGACATGTGACGGGCCAGGATCCAGAGCAGCTGGCAGTGGTGGTGGATCTGGAGTGGGGTCTCGAGGCAACTCCATGCCCAGGATTCCCCCTTCTACCGCCACTTCCAGTATTGCCACCCACTGGGTTCCCCCCCCCTTCCCCAGTTTGGGCACTTGGGCCCAAAAAGGTTTGCCGTCACTGGCCTAGACAGTCATTCTGTACCTATGGCTTTACATAAATATGGGATCTGTGGATCCTGAGTTCTGTGCCAGAAGGGACTGATAATCTGCGTAAGTGGTGGCAACTACCTTCAAAGAACCATGGCACCCCATAAGCTGAGGTGTAGTCCAGTGGAGAGAAAACAGCATTCACCCTCCAATGGACCACCAACTTCTGTAACAGCTATTGATTTGCAATGGGAAGGAGATCCACTCATATTAAGTGGCCAGTCTGCTATGTCTCCCCCAGAGTCAATCAACTTACCTGTAGTCCCTTTGACCACCAAAGTGGTGACTGTGGGCTTGACAGCAGACACCGTGACAGGGGTAACGAGCCGCACTCCACCCATAGGGACAGTTCGTAGGATAGTGCCAGGTTGTCCAGGTGCTCCCTTAAGCACCACCTACAAATGCAAATTTGTCAAGTTAAGATCCCAAGTTGAAGATTCAGAGCACTGAGCCCAGTTCCTCTCAGCCTGCTCTAAAGGCTCACCTGTGTCACACCTTGCTGTCCATGACTTGTGGTCAGCTTAGGAACAGCTGTGATGATCTTGGCAGGTGTGCCAGTGCCAGAGGTCATCATTTTTGTGGTGATGATGGTGATGGGAGACTTAATCCCAGGGCTACTGGTGACACCTGGAAAACAGAAGAACAGCTGCTTGGGGGTCTTGAACCACCCAACCTCGGTACTCCTTGAAGGGTTCCTGCAAGCCACCCTCTGACCACCACAAGCCCAGGAGCTTCCATTTCTGTTACTCATATTCCATCTGCAACTGCACTGCAGTCACAGTGCTACAGAGCAGCAGTTTCAGGTATATTTTACTCCCTACCTGTGGCGCCTGACTGAGTAATAATAGCCGACACGGGGATGGTCTTGATGATGGTTGTGGTGCCAGGCTTGGTTGTGTTGGGAGAGACACTGCTGATGCCCAGGATAGTAGGTTTGGTACCTGTACCACCTGCCTGGGAGCTGGTGATGATTGTGGTAGGCTTGCCATCTGCTGAGGTCACCAGCTTCAGGATTGTACCAGCGGGCAGGGTCCCTTTGGTCTAAGGGAACAGAGAGAATACCAAGAATCAACAATGTTCAGGAGATCTCAACATCCTATCATATAATGCATAGAAAGCACACTTGTTTTAGTTTTCATTTATTTCCATTTTAACTATGTGTTGCACTAGTCTTTTAAATACTGTATTGCCATGTTGTGTTCAAGTATCCAAAGTATTTTAGTACTGTCACACCATCAACGTTACTTCTGCCAAAAACAAACAATTAAATCATAAATGCTGTACAAAATTATGGGCCATCTGAAAGCGCAGAAACCCAGACTGAGCTCTTAGTTCTAGCAGTGACAAAGGCACAGGCTACTATAAAGTGTGAAGTGCGATGGCTGCTCTTTGGCCACTGTCTGTGAAGTGTGCAAGGAACAGGGGTTAGAAAAACTCCAGATTTCTTTCAGCCCCATAACTACATGACATGGTACAAACTGAACACCACAAAGGCCCAGCCTCAGCTTGCAGATCAGAAAGGCTGATGGACAAACATCGGCTGCAATGCAACGTTCATGGACTGGGATTGGGTTTAAATACTGCTGCTATCCCTTCTCATGAATTCTTACTTGGATTATCTGGGTCACGGGCCCACTAGATGCTTGGCCTGTAACAGCTGATGTCTGGACAGGTTTCGTCTGAACAACAGACATCATTTTCCCCAAATTGGAAATCTGTTAAAGAAAAAGAGAAAAAAGTTGGCCCATGGCACCTGAAAACATCATGGGACCAGAGTGCCCTCTCTCTTCTTTGCTGCCATCCTTATTCAGAAGATGCTGGATCAGAAAGCACCCAAGAATCTTTCACTCAATAATGCTGAGGTCAGGGAAGCAACAGCTCACTGCTGGAAAAGCAAAGAACTGCTGCCAGGCGAGGTCTTGTGCAAAGCAGAGCCCTGCAAGTGCCTGCACTTCTCCAGGAAAGGACACCCAGCGAGACCAAAGGCATGTTTCCCCTTCCACCTCCCTCAGTGATGCTTACCAATGCACTGCCTCCTGGCACTGAGATGGGGCTTTTCATCAATGTGATGGTCTTGGTCACCCCGCCCACCACAGTGGTCATCACCTGGGCCTGCTGTGCTACGGTGACAGTACTCGACTTGCGCACTGTGATGATGGGCCGGGTAGGCGTGTTGGTGGTGGACGAAGAGACAGAGGTGCCAACCTGAGCAGCGGCAGTTTTCAGCATTCGGGTTGCTGGGTTGCTCACCTGATTGTCAGATAGTATCAACATGAGAAAAGTGAGGAGGCCCTCACAGCACCCTAGCAATCCATCTTTTTGGCAACATTTCTACACTGTCCTTGGTAAAAAGGTCCTTACAGTTGTTCGGCCCCTGTGATTTGGTTTTTAAAAACATGGGTTAAAAGCAGGAGGGGGAAATCTTGGTTTCCATTCATAGGGTATGCTGTCTTCATATTACTTTCTATCTACATAATTAGTTGCATATGTTATGGGGGGGGGACAAACTGACTATTCCCAACAGATGCTCACCATGACTGGAGAAGATGCCACCTTCACTGTGGTGGGTAGCGTGGTGGTGCCCGGAGAAACAGCAACAGTTTTAACTATGGCGGTGCCAGCAGGCATACTCAGCACCGTAGGGGCTGAGGACGGGGGGATTTTTTGTGTGGCGGCGGCAGCAGCTGCCAGAGCAGCCATGCCACTCATCTGGGGGCTGCTGCCAATCACCTGAAAATTAGAAGAGTCCAAAGTTAGTTGGAGGGTGGAGGACATGAGCACCTGGGTCCTTCCAGGACAGATTCCTATTTGTCTAGGTGATACTCACCGTCCCTTGAGTATTCTGCGTGGGTACCACCATGCGCACTCCAGCTGGCAGTGAAGTTACTGTCACTGGGCCCTTTCCAGCCTGACCTGCTGAACGTACGGTTACCAGTGGAGCCCCTGTGGTAGCCTGGGGGCCTGTGACCTTCAGCACAGCAGGGACAGCTACTGAGGAAGAGGCAAATGCAGAGCAGAGTCAGCTGGATTCAGCACAGAGACTCTTCATCACTCGGACTGCATGGTTCTCACAGCATAAAGCTGGCAACCCTAGCAAAACAGATACTCTAGAGCAGCAATGGCGAACCTATGGCACGCGCGCCACAGCTGGCACGCAGAACCCTTTCTGTGGTCACACGAGCCACAAGTCACCAGATCACTACTCCCCGCCCCACAGCCAAACCTATGGAGGCAGCTGCTGCCGCAGTGCTGATGCGATTTCGAGACTTTTATTGGCATATAAACGGCAACAACAAAACATAGGTACAAGCCAAGCTATGATCAGAGTAAACGTAAAATAGGAGATACACTCAGCAAATAGTATCATAGGTAATGGGTTAAATTGGAAATTTCCAAAAGATACCTTGCAACGGCAGATGTAATCCGCGGGCAAGAATCATTCAGGAAAAAGGATAGGGAGTTGGGCAAAAGAGAAAGCCACGGTTTGAGAAACAGCTTTCTCAGAGATGAATGCGCCGGGCAATGAAATAAAATATGGTCCAAGGAATCTGGGAGGGTATGACAGAAAAAGCAGAGCCTATTTGCATGGGGGATCTTAGCGAATCGGCCTGCATGAACCGCCGAAGGGAAGATATTGAGGCGAGCTAACATAAATGCTCTTCTCTGACCAGGGTTGGTGAAGAGAAATAGTTAGAAGGGCGTCCTAGGGAAGGAGGAAGACTGAAAAAAAGGGGAGAACAAGTGGGGTTTAAGTCAGCTGAAAGTGACTCAAACTCAAGCTGCCAAAGTTTGTGTTTGATCAAGGAATGGGCCTGTTGTAATCCCAGGTCGAAAAGGGATTCTAAGT